GTAGGTATGTTTGTATTGATTTTGCATCCAATATTAAGAAATTGTAAGCGTAAAAAGAAGTTTGGTTTTTTTTGTTTCATATCAGAAACAATGCTACTATTATTTTTATTGTTTTGATTCTGATTTAAAACTGTTTTTAAAAATATCTATGTATATGTAAAGGCTTACTAATTGCTTCATTATACACATATGTATGTATGTATATATTATGAGCTTCATGTGTTAATAAATAAATAAATAAAAAGAATAAATATAAAAATGTTTAACCAATTCTGATGGTGCAGTTACAACCTCATCTTCTTTCCGTATTTGGGGCCAAAAATCTATTTCTCTACGTATATTATATATACGTATATATGTATATATATATATATATGGGAATGTAAGGAATATATGAGAATAAACCCAAAATTATTAGTTTTAATTCATTAAAAAAAACATGAGTAGCCTTTATTTCTAGGAAGTTCTGAAACAAAAATAATAATATGTTCATATGCCTATGCCTATGACCATAAAATAGAATATATTCCTCTATTTAAATTTGGTGCTGAAAAGTGATATTTAGTTTCAATGAAATAAAAATACACAAGGGTACAAAATAGAGTACAAGGAAACAAAATCATAACAAAAAACTTACATGCACGTGCTTACTATGTTATAGAGCGTTGTAGAGAAATTCATTGTGCTCTCTATTTCATGTAACATTGTTACCCGCGCCCCCACAGGTCTACTTAGCAAATTTAGTTTGTTTTCAGATTTCTACTCTATAATATTTATACTCAATGCTGGAATTTAATTATTATTTTATACTTTGTATATTTGTTATTAGGAATTATTTCATTTCATTGAAAAAATGGGAAATTTGAATTTTTATTTTTTGAGTAATTACATATAATATTATTCCAAATTAATTTGTTTTTCAATCATTTTAGCTTTTTTAATTTTCTTTTATTTCATTTGATTGTTTAATTTAATTATATATTTAGTAGAATTTTTTTAATTGTAGGAATTTTTTTTATTTTACGTAAAGTTGATTTGAAATTATTGATTCTTAATTATTAATACTTCTGTTGCTAACATAGGAGTTGTTTTAACAGCGATTTTAAATTTAAAAATTAAGAAGATTGTAGTGGATATAGAATAATGATTAAACATGGATTATCTTTCTCAGACCTATTTTGATTAGTTAATATAAGATATGAACGGTTAGGAAGTCGAAGCTTATTAATCAATAAGGAATTATTAAATTTTACACCATCATTAACTTTATAATGATTTTTATCAAATTCTAGAAATATAGCTGATCTTCCTACTTTAAATTTATAAGGAATACTTTTATTAATAAGTAGAATTTTTAATTGATCTTGATATTTTATAATTAGTTTATCATTATATGTTATTTATAATATGCGTCTGGTGTACTGGAAAGATATTCCTCGACTCAGAGAAAGATATCTCTGGGCACCTTTATAAACTACGATTATCTGCTAATTCGGAATGCAGATTACGCCTCGAAGATGAGGAAACTACCAGAACAGATTAAGAGCTCTTTTTTTAGATAAAATGCTTAACTTGCTTTTAAATTTATTTTTCTCTTATATTTAATTTTTTAAAATTAAAAAACCAAAAAAACAATTTGGCTGAACAAAATTATTGATACAGCTAACGTAAAAATTAAAAAACAGATTAAAAAAAAATATTTTCGATAACAATTAATATTTAGTAGCCAAGCTCTTCTATTTAATAATAACTATTATTTGTTTTGGAATTGAAAAAATCAATTTTTGTGTGGTTTTTGGTCAAAAATATTGCCAATATTATTCTAAACTTAATAATATAGGTAATAAATGTTTTCGATTAAAATAATAGAAAATACTCCATTTAATACTAATATATAACAAATTAATAATTAATAAAATTTATTAATTAATTCTAATTTATTAAAATTAGAATTATAGGAAATATAAACAATAATATTGTTCAGCTTTTCCTTAACGCTTTTAGCGAACTTGTAGAGAAACATTTGCATAGCTTCTTTGTAAAATTGCACCCAAAAAAGGCGCTTTACATATAGTAAATTAAAAAATATGCATAACAGATGTCTCTACAAAAAGAATAGCTTTGAAACAAAAATAGGCAAGCTCAAAGATTAACTTTCAATTCGTTGAACTTGTGTTTCCAAATAAAGCTGTAGTTTATAAGCTCGTTCTAATTTAAAAGCACGGCAAGTGGTTTGGTTGGGGTCACTAATTAAATAAAAATAAGTGACAAAACCTGGAATTTGAACATTGAAAGTTTGTGCAGCCTTGGCTATTTGTGGATAAACACGATGAGTCAGTCATCGCTTCTAATTTGACAGGCACGAGTTCTGAGCCTGGCACTTACTTGCAGTCCAAACAAATTATAGACGGACTATAAACTAATTAAATAAAAAATTCGATTATTTCCAAAGACCACTGATGAAGAGTACTTGGCAATACTCGAAACAGCGTTGTATGGTCAGCCAAATTTCAATAAATTAAAAATTAAAGAAATACTTGCAATCAAAAAATTTTAATATGATTATCTTATTAAAGAAGCTCTGCAAGAAAAACCACTTACAGAGAAGTAGTCAATTTATTCCACGTAGCATCTTCAACTGCACGTAAATATATAACTTGCGTATCGGATTTTTTATTCGATATATCAGCCAAAGTTATAAAAATGCCAAGCGGTGATGAAAAATATTTCAACGCTCAACCATTTTTTCAAGTAAGATCTTTCAACGCATTAGAAAGTTCATATACTACAAATATTTTATAGATTGCAGGATTTCAAAATGTATTAGGGTGCATTGATGGCACGTACATTTATGTTAGAAAACCAGACAATAAAATACGCTCTATGTACATAAATAGACACGGATTATTGTCTATATTATTGCATGATATTTGTGATGCTAACAAAAGATTTTTATATGTATTCATTGGATCACTTAGTAAAATCCATGATGCTCGAATGTACAAATTGTCACCGATATCGAAGGAGCTTTCTTCTGCACTTTGGATATCCTTTGCGAGAATATTTGTTAACTCCGTATAAGGATTATGGAGACCAATTCCAACAACAAAAACATTCAATAAAAAACATAGTCAAACTCGTGTTATTATTGAAAATTCTTTCGCGTTGCTGAAGCAATGATGGCGACAATTACGTCATTTGAATTTTTTTCTGTGAAAAGAACGTGTAAGTTTGTGCTTGGCTACTGCGTACTTCATAATTTTTGTATTGAGAAAAAGGATGATTGGATAGAAAATGTTGACTATGCAGAGATAGTTACCAGGAAACCTTGTGACAAAATCTCAAGTAAGCAGTTGGGTTTTTCAGAGACTGCTTTACAGCACATGGGCAAACTGAAACGCAATAATAGAATAGCTGAAACATTTTAGAGTAATATTAAAAATTTATATTTCATAAATTTATAAAAAAAATTTAGCTTTAAAGTAACAAATATAAAAATAATAAAAATAAAATTCCATTATTAATAAAAATAATACAATTCTATTTTTCAAGAATCTTTTTCAATCTTTTTCCTGGTGTCTGCGTTGCTTATTTTTCTTTATTTCTTACTGCAGTTTCATTTTATTTTCTTACAAATCAAAATACTTATTAAAATATTTCTCTTGCTCTGTTTTTCTTTTCGTAGTACGTGAAAATAATTGAATAGGAGACGATGATGAGGAACTTAAAGTAGACATTTCTGTGGTGCGTCCTGAAATGGCAAATTTTCGAAAAACTCTACCAGGCGCAATTGCTACTTCAAGGCACAGTGAGTCATCTTGCGCTATAATTTGTGCCATTTCGTCATCATACGGCGTTTTTATAAATTGCAGCTCCGCTTGTAAAATTGTAAATTTTCTATCGCCTTTTTTGTCCACTTTCCACTTGAGTGCCAATATAAACGATTGCGAATTTATCCATAGCTCGTAACCAATACTTGCCCACTTTGTTGTTTTGTTTTTAAATTTTTTTAGTTGGCCAATATGTTGTTGCTCCTTTGCTCCTATACTTTGTGTCTTCTTCTAGACATTTCCGAGGCGATTAAGCTTGACTGACGATATTTTCAGCATCATCTAAAATTCATATTAAATTTTTATGATGACATTATATTATTATATTATTCATTTTAATTTATTTACCAAAAGTATCAATAACGTATTCAATTTCGTCATCCATTTCTAACGACTTGTTGATTGTAATGACACGCAATGTATGTGACCTGTCAAAAACTTACTAACACTTCTTCAAAAATGTTAGACTGCATTAAAAATGTTCGATTGGGCAACAAAATTTGACAGATCGAATAAATCTAGATTGAATCCAGATTTACCAATCGAAAACGTCATCTATGTATTAAATACTCATTGGCTTAACACTCCAACCTCTCCCGCATCATAAAGACACAAAATTTAAAATTAAGTCATTGACTCAATACGAGTCTATGTATTGAATAGTCTTTGCTTCAGCAATTGCTTTAATACTGATTAATAATAAAATAATAATATGATGAAATGGTCTCTTGCGATCAAGCTGAGAAAGTGAAGTGTAGTGTGAATTAAAGATGAATTGCTTTTGGTCTATCAAGCACTGTTAAAGCTGAAATAATCTTGCAAATGTGGCAAATCATCTTTGGTTTTATCTTTATTATGATTACTTATAGTGCTTTTCATATTAGGTCTGTTCCACGAGCTACTCATAGTAAAACTCAATTAAAACACAAGTAAAGTACAAACTTAGCGCGTAACACAAATAAGGTGCCAAATTACGCTCTTTCCACAGATTTTCATGGAACAGATTTGTTTGTAGTCTAGTGAAAACACCAGTGCCGCACAAATAAACCATACAAAAATTTAAATTCAAACCAAAGCAGCTGATTCACACATCAACACAAATTTTACTTGAAATAAAATGTACGAGTTAAGTCTGTGTAGTATTTTTAAATTTTGACAGGGATGTTACGCTCTATAAGATGCTCTTATTTACTCAAAAATTTGATGGTGGAACGAACTTGCGTATACACAGTGTTATTCAAAGTTACTACGAGTAACGGACTTTTTGTAAATCCCGAGCTTTCGAATATCTGGATTTAAGATTATTATTGTCGAAGACTATAATATTATTATTCGAAGAAATGGTGAACGAAAGTTACAGGTTAGTTAAAAATAAGCACAAATTTTTGTATAAATAAAAGAATTTGTTGTCAGTTTGTTTTATTTTACTTTATTTATTTTATTAATTAAATGTTTTAATGACCAAAAGAAATTTTTTATAAAAATAATTAATTCACGGGCTAATTGGTCAGTTATTAAATAATGATATTTTTTTTATATATAACAATATATTAATACTAAAATCAGATATGGGTAATAAAACAGTTGCTATAACTAAGGAAGATTACAATTCCAAAATCTATGATATAGTGAATGACATAGTGTTGTATAGAATATTAAGAAAGGACCCAAAAAATTCACTACAAGCCAAAAATAATTTATTAGTTGAAAAACTATACAATGACGAAATCATAAATAAAAGAGAAAAAGAATATTTGACAACGAACACAGCAAACCCACCTAGACTATATGGATTACCTAAAATCCATAAAGAAAATATGCCACTTAGACCTATATGCTCATCTATAAATTCACCTTCATACAAACTGTGTCAATTTATGATAACCATTCTTAAAAATTTAACAAAAAAATCAAAGTACAATATTAAAGACGCACTTGAATTTAAACAAAAAATTAACAATACCTATATTTATGATGATGAGAAAATGATATCCTTTGATGTCGTATCTCTATTTCCCAGCATACCACTAGATTTAGCGGTAAAACTTTTAGAAACTAAATGGAACGAAATAAGACAATTTACAAAAATAAAAAAATCGTTGTTTTTTGAAATACTAAATTTTTGTCTCACAGACAACAACTATTTTACTTTATGGGTTCGGTTCTCCAGCGTCACCAATTATTGCAGATATTGTAATGGAGGAACTACTAGACCAATGCATGGAAAGAATGGAAATAAAACCGAGGCTTTTAACTAAATATGTAGACGACCTTTTTGGGATTGTAAGAATAGATAGCATCAATGATACTTTAAAAATTTTCAATGACTTTCACAAAAGTATCAAATTCACCATAGAAGAAGAAAAACATAACCAATTACCATATTTGGACATTCATTTATTACGATATAATAATCGTATAATGACAAAATGGTATCAAAAACCAACAGCCTCTGGACGAATTATAAACTTCAATTCAAAACACCCCCACCATGTAATAAGTAACACAGCCAAAAATATGGCTATAAGAGCATTAGAGTTAAGTGACACAATTTTCCACAAGGAGGTAAAAAATAATATCAAAATGGTTTTAAACAAAAATGATTTCCCCAACCCAGTAATACAAAAAATTTTAAAAGAAAAAAGAAATCAAAAAGTAAACCAAAATACTCAAATTTATAAAAGTATGGTATATGTACCAAAACTCTCCAACCAAATTACAACTTCAACAATATATGACAAAGAAAAATATAAAATTACATATAAGACACATAACACGATGAAGACGCTGTTTTCGAACACCAAATCTAAAATAGATACTTTGGATAGACACAATGTGATTTATCAAATTAAATGTAAAGGTGATGGATCCAACATATGCAACCAAGTATATGTTGGCACAACAAAAAACAAGTTAAAGACGCGTATAGCCGGACATAAACACAGTGTCAAATATAAAAATAATATTGACTCAAAAACGGCACTGGCATCACACTGCATTACATCAAAACATGAGCCAGACCTTGATAACATAAAGGTGTTACACCAAGAAAATCATCAACAAAAACGATTTTTCTTAGAGATGTTATACATCCTTCAAACTCCAAGTGACACCAGACTAAATTTCAAAAGTGACATACAACACTGTGCTCAGGTGTATAAAAACACCTTCGACAAATCCGGAAGAGGATAAATATATTTTTCGTATATATATATGTTATTTTTATAATTCTTATAGTCAAAGTATTGTATATTTTCCAAATACATATGTATGTTTCATGTTTCAATGTAAATGTAATTTATTATTGTTTCTATGTAATGTATACCTTAATATTAATTACAATGTATTTATATGTATAGTTCCCCGATGATGACTATAGATTATAGTCGAAATATTGGAAAATAAAAAAAATCTTTTAAAACTAAATAATATAAAAAAAATATCATTATTTAATAACTGACCAATTAGCCCGTGAATTAATTATTTTTATTTATTTTATTTCATTACATTTTACATTTTAAAGAAATAAATAAAAAATTTACATTTTAAATAACTTATATTAATATGTATTTACAATTTATATTAAAGAAATTATATTAATGAAAATTTGAAATACAAGATTTAAAATTATATATAAAAATTTGACAGTATTAATATTTATGCATTTGCATTTATAAATATATTTTTTTATTATTATTATTCTAATTATTTTATTAATGAAAATTTTGTAAATTATTCATTTTTCGCTATTTAAAAAGAATGAAATTAGGAATTAAAATCTTTATATGGTTTTAATATGGACAGAAATGTTTTATTATGATACATGACGAGATTTGTTTATACATTTTAGGAGGCTACACAACTGCGATGAGGAGATACAATATTTCCTATAAAAGTGATTTAAAAAATTTCCATTATAAGTATATCGTACTAACAGTAATTACAACAAAAAAATCTAAATTTTATTATGTATATATAAATTTCTCCTTACTAACGTAACATTGCAGATCACCGGATCATCGTTTAGTACCCGATTAATCGGAATCGAATAGCTCGTAAAACCGAATACGAATATCATTAATTACTTCCGCTATACTTTATATGTTTGTTATGGGCAGTTCCTAGTCTTTATATTACGCTTACGACTTAAAAAAGTCCAATGTAAGTATGCGAAGTTAGAAAATTTCCTTTATTTTATTGCAATAATTTTTTTTTTGGGATATTTTTCTGATTGTTCAATTTCTTAGTTTGATTTGTACTGAGAGCAAAAAATATGGCAGTTTTTTTTATTTTGATTGATTGCCTATTACTAAAACTATAACTATAATCTTAATTTATGAAATATTTTTATAGGTTTGTCTTAACATATATAATTGACTGTCTTATGGTCTTAATGCAACCTGCCTTGTACCCAATATGAGAACTTGAACAAGATCATATAATTTGTTATAGATGATCAATAAAAACACAGCAAGTTTTATTCATGCTCGAACTGCAAGAAATAATTATAAACTTGTAAGGAAATTAGTATATTCTTTCTTTATCAAAAACTTACATTTATTTTATTATTTAAAGGGCTCTTAGGTTCAAGTGCGTAATTAATGTAAGAATTGTATCTACAATTTATTTGTACATACAATTTCCATATATATACGGTTGGCTAAAAAGTTTCGAAAACGACACATATTAATTAGTAGAATAATCAAAATTTATACGCCATTTTGACATTTCATCGCAATCTCAAGATTATTTCGATCTGCCAAATCAGTCTTTTTTTACAATATGATTTTGTTATATATCGTGTACTGATAAAGTTCTTTGTTTTAGAAGGTTTATCAGCAAACAGAAACGGAAAGACGTACAATGACTTACATACATACGTGGCTTCTCTTTAAACTTTCAAAAATCAAAATGCTACAATAAAACAATACACAAAGTAGCATTAAAAACCATAAACACGTTAAAAAATTTGTTTAATTCAACGAAAACAAACGTAGAATGTTGTTAAAAATGCTACATATTATTGACGTACCAGAACAGTTGAATTACAAGAGCACAAGATCATTGATCAAAAATGAGATGGTAAGTTTAATTTTATTTCCATTTGTATAATTCAAAAATTTATTTTTGTTTTGACTAAGGCTGTCATTCTAATTAAAAATTGTTCATAATCTTTTCAAATCTTTTCATAACCTTCTTGTATTTATGTAAGTTTTGACATTAATTACAAAAAAACAAAATTGTTGTTTTGTTTGTTTTGTAATAACACTGTCTACTTCGTA